ATCATTTTAAATAATTGAAGGATTTTGGTACCTTATTTCCAATAGAAAATTTTCAATTATATTTTATAAAACTAAAAATCGTAAAGCTGCTAAGAATATTATGATTTTGGCATTTTTCAGGCCCTACCCATAAACTTGCACCCTTCCCTAAACACTTCAATCGCCCCTCTCCTTTCAACCCATTTCACACACACAATATACAAACAAACCAAACCAGATGATAACAAAAACGAAGGCAAGAAAAAAATGCTAGCAAAATGACTGCAATCTGTCGTCTCAACGCTGATGACATTTTGAGTGAATGAACCAACGAACGAGCCTACTCCTCCCCTTGAAACCATCAAACCCCTGGAAACGGTGCCCCACCTTACCCCGGGCTGTCCTGTTTTTTAACAAATTGGTGTGATCCCAGAGTGACGCGTCATATTCGCAGACACTTTAGCAGGACCCCAGGATCAGGAGGAGAAAAGCAGGAGTACACTTGAAGAAATCATCGATTATTTTTTAACATTTATAGCTAAAACAAAAAATAATTCCAACTGATTTCTGAAAAATGGTTTACTCTTTGCTGATATTTATATTCGTTTTTTTTTCCAAGAGTTTTGTCTTTGATGATGAATAATTATATTTCGCTTGGTAGTTTTATTTGAGTATAAATAAACCTCTAATTTTCTTCAGTGGCCTCACTGAAGGGACGCCGACTGATAGAGCGACAGCAGAGAAATTGCAAACGAGTTGAGTCGTTGAGCCAAAAAACCAAAACATACGCAGCATTTATAAGGCAGCCAACAATGAATGCCCCTCCGATCCCCCTTTTCGCCATCCCCCGAAAAGGGCGTTAGAGGTTTCCGAGGGGGTGTGGCATATTGTTAACGCCCACTCAACTCTATGCCATTTTGTATTGATGGCCTGTCTGCCGCACAGCTTTTATATAAAGCCTCCCAGAGATTCCGCTTTGATGTGGGAAGGAGGAGGGTCGCAGCCTTTGGCATCGAATTTCGGTTTCAATTTTTTGTTTTTTTTTCTGTTGTTCTGGTTGGGGTAAACAAATCACTAAACAAAAAGCTCACAATGCAGTTAAAGGCAACGCTGGAGATAAGGAAAGTGCGAAAATTCACCAACAAAATGTTGGCACCAAAAATGCGCTTTAAAGGTTTCATTTCAGTTAGGCTTAAAATGTAATAAATTTGGTAACGAGATGGGAAGCCTTATGAGAAAGTCCAAAACATATAATGTGGATCCTAAAGTAACCACTACTTTTTTAATAATGTCCTACTTCCAATATATTTGTTCGTAGTCCTTCGTTTCTCTTTTTTGACTTTATAAAAATACCCGACAAAAAGTGTATGTGAGGGACTGAAAGAACAAGGCGTCTATTTCCGTCATCAAAACACAGAAGTGAAATTGCTGTAAATTTAATCCGCTTGTGTGTGTGCTTTTTGCTTGTATTTGTGTGGGCCGTCTCGCTTTTGTTGCCCTGACTCTTTCTACGGCTCAATCCCCGGCTCTTTCACCCGCCCACTCCGCCTCTCTTTCACTCTTTGGCAGAACCCGTCAATTTGCACGCGTAAAGTGCGCCATCTAGCGTCGTTTATGCGCACATTTGGCTCACATCAATTTGCGGTGCAGACATTAGCCTTTGCATTTTTTATTAAACGACACCGCGCGACATACCCGGCGTATGCGTAATGCGGTTACTCGCTGTGTTGACGCTACTGATGACTCTGATGATTCCGATGTCGGGGGCAAAATGGCACAATATTAATTGTCGCAGATGCCTCTCATTCTCCGATGCTCTTTATACCCATTTACGGCCGCTATATATGCATGCTACAGTGGTAATTATCGCAAATTATAGATGGGAATATTTGTATAAATAAATGTTTATATAACTTTTATCTTAATAATAAATAAATACCTAGTAACACAATAAAAATCACTTTAAAATATTTTACTTAAAATATACAAACTTTTATTTTAAAATTAAATAATACAATTACGTAATAATATATAACTAAGAAATCTAGTAAATTTCCAAAACCCAACTCTTTATCTAAGACTCGGTTTGATCTCTTCTCCCTTTAATCGATTCTTGGTAATCAACTATTTGCAATTTTAGCATGCTGCTCAGATGGTCTCGAATTTCCATTTAAGATTAATTACCGTATCTGAAACCTGCAGTCTGTGACAGACCACTGTGTCATCAGCATCTTTCTCGTCCGCATCTGTGATGCGTCTTTTTGTCTTTGATTAGCCGCAGACATCGGTGGGACTGAGAGTGGGGCCTCGACATGAAGTCAGCTCATTGGAGAAATTACATTTACATATTAAAATATGCCAAATGCAAAAGCCAGACACGACCAGAGGTCGACTTTGGGGCAGGAGGCTTAAGGGGAATCACCGGCCAGGGACTTCGGATGGCCCTTGGTCAATTGACCAGCCATGTGGTGGAGCCTTTGTTGCTGCACTTGCTGTTGTTTATGCATAGGCTATGTGCCACTATCTGCCCCTCTTATGTGAACCGATCGTCCTTTACGAGGCGCCGGCAAAATGTCTAGTCATGCATCTGGGCAAAAGGAAAGGTAAACAGGCAGTGCAGTGAAGTGCAGTTTCCACGTGGTGGGGTAGGAAAGTTTCCAAATAATATAATATATTATCCGATTAAGTCCGAAAAATATATTACCAAAAGGCGTCTTAAGGATTATTCAATATTTTTAAATAATCAAAATATTTTAAAAATATTAAGTATTTCTTCTAGAAATGTAATAGTATTATAAATATTAACGGAACAATGTATTAGTATTAAACCATTTAAATACATGTAGTAAATTGTAAAATAAATTAAAACAGGTGTTGAATTGAAGAATAATAAAACACTTTAAAATGCAGTAATATAATAATCCTATCGAACTCACCGATTCACCCTCGCTTATTCTGCATTTACCCCGATGTTCATTTTGCCTATTTTGTTATTGCTCCCGACTATTGCGCATATTATGCAAAATTGTTTATGCAAATATTGCAAAAAAGAATTAATTTATTTGACTTCCATGCTAATTTACGAGCCAATAAATGCAGGCGATGCAGGGAGGTCTACGGGGCTATTGTTAATTTATTGGTATTTCCCCCTGATTGCTGGGGCCATTTTCAGCCCCCGTTTTTTGGACTACCCCCGATATGTGTGTAGACACATTTTAAATTTAAGCCAGGCCAACCATACAGAGGCACAACAAAAATATACTGTAGAAAATTATAACGCATTGGCCCCGAAAAATCAACAGCTGCCATCCCACAAAAACCAAACAAACCGCATGTCCATGGCCCCCGAAAATCCACCCCTCTTTGGAATTCTAACTGAGTTGGCTGACCGAAAGTCTAAACGGCATTGACCGCATAAGAGTTAGGAGGAATACCAGGGGCCGAAGGGGTTACCAATTTAAAAATTTCCACAGCCGCCAAAAAATCAAAGTTGAGAAGCAGCCAAGCGTTTGCACTGCGTTCCGTAGGCGGTCAACCGATGGGCGGGCTTTTTTGAGGCTATGGCAAAAATCAACATCCAACCAGGACCTTCCTCGCTGGCCATGAAATGCGGTTTTCGAACCGAACCACCATTTGAAATTAAAACGAGGTTTCCAACCGTAGTTTAGCACTATAGGGGACATTGTTGAAAACTCCACTTGAAACGGGTTAACAAATCGGTTTTGGAAGCTGTTGGGTTGGATTAATTTGAAATAAAAGCTTGAGACGTGCAGGTAGTTTTCAGTTTGAGACAATAGAATTTTAAATTGAACGATTTTGGAAACTTTTATTTCCACTAGTTTAGTTGTTTATTAGCTTCTATGAAGAGCCTCGGACTTTTAAAAATTATTAACATAGTTGTTTTTAGTTTAATTTAACAATTTATTGTGACTAATATTTCGATACGAAAGCCTTAAAAATTTTTTACTTTCTTACTTCTCAAAAAATTACAGCTTTCGACACTGCCTACAGCCAAAAATAATATTTGTAACATGGACTATTGGCCAATTTCCGGCATATCCGACGCGGAGCTGCGTTAGAAATGAACCAAAACTTAATTACTGAAAATTTATATATCCTAAACCCCTTCTGCGGTTTTTGGTGAACTGCTTCTTTTGCTGGCTGAAAATGTGCATGTGCCACGCCCCCCAGACACCCGCCCACTCTCGCGGTTCTCTATTCAGCAAATTGTTTACAATTGTCAAACAGGCTGGCCACGGTTTTTGCGGTCAGCGCCGCTTTTAATAAGGTGAAAAATGGCGAGCACAAATGTCGTCGGGGTTCACAGCCTGCCCTCTCTTTCACTCAACATCCTTCGCGGGGTTTTTGTTTAATGCTGCATAATTTTAGGCGTTAAAAAAACAGCTGCAAAAGCAACAGCAGAAGCGGTAGCAACAAAAACAAAATAAAATTGCCGGTGTTTGTGCTTTCGTAACGCCCTCATCAAATATTCAAACGGTAGCCGGGTTGTCCCTTACAAACACGCACACACAAATACCCACAACACTGAGAAAAAATACAGGCATAATTTATTTTAACTAATTATTATTTATTTTATTTCTTTTGTATTCTTAGGTGGTACTTAAGAGATTTTAAATTACTTTAAAAGACTGTAAAGATACACCCAAAAAAAAAACCGAAAGTTTACAGTTAATACGCGTTGTATTAAAAGTATACTACAGCTAGTATCAAACTGTCAGTATTAATTTAAAACTAAATAATGTAAGGAGCAGACTCAATAGTGTTAAGTTAAGACTAAATAGTGTTAAGTTTATGTCCTGAGTTTAATTTCTATACCGAAGTTTTCGGTTTTCGTTCCTGGTGTGAGGCCAGGATGCTCTGGTTTGGAACCTGGACATTTCGAACAGAAAAAGTGTTACCGCTTTTTAATGCTATTCGGACGCGTTAGAATTTTAAGGGTTTTACATTAGTGTATTTTGTAAACGACGCTGCGGTCTGTTTAAGGTTTGTTTGTGAAAATTACTTGTGAAAATTTTAATATTTGCTTATTTTGGGCTTATTTGAAATGTAAGTACATTTAAATTGTGTCTTAGTCCATAACTAATGAGTAAATTCTTTTATTTTTACTGACACCACCTTGAATTGCGCTCCAGATGCCGGGAAACTAAGGATCTTGCTATTGGCTTGCATTTTTTCTGACCGCGGCCAGCGCAATGTTTACTTCAATATCCGGTGTTCATCTGGACGGCGACCACTCTGGAGATGATCAGCGACATAAGCGGTAAAACTGCATTTGCCCAAATATGCATACACACGTACATATTTTGTACATGTATTGTATTTATGTTTATTTGTTAAATTAAAAATTACCTCAGTAATTTATAAAAATGTAAAAAATATTTTTAATAATATATGAAAAGTACAGAACAACATTTTTGAATTTTGTCTCTTTTATACGGGGTATAATATTTATACTGGCATTATACTAAATAGTATACAAAATAAACTAGCACCCTAAATTTCAGTACACTGGTGAGTATAAACTGTACACTCGTTAGTTTAAACTTGACAACTTCGAAAGTTTCATTTTTATACTTTCGAAGTCCATTAGTTTAATACTCAGAGTATCGAGAAATTTTGACACTCAATAGTTTACTTTTAATGTAGAAATAGTTTAGTTTCTATGATCATTTTTTTTTGGGTGTACTGTAATAGTTCTTAAAAACTCAAAAATTGATTTATTTTTGACATGTTTTGGATTTGAATTGTCTCATTATCTCTTAGGCACCAGCTTATATTCTTATCGATTTCTGTGGCAGTATATTTTAAATTTTTTTCTCTGTGTAACTAACACACACAACGAACGAATGGGCGGGTAAAAAAACGGCGTCAACAAAAGCCATCATAACAATTAATTTTGAAAACACGTGTAGATTGCTTTTTGCGGTTAGCAGCAGGACGTTCTCGGGCAAAAGGGGGAGTGGCCGAAAAGGGGAGAACAAGCGGTCTAAAAATGCCAACGCGCGACATCTCGACCTCTCGCATGGGTGGGCAATCATAAAACACTTTAAGCATGTTTTCCTGCTAGTTTATTAGTGTAAAACCCCTTTTTCTGTCCAGCCAGACCGCCTCTCAATCCTCTTAATTCAATGTCAACGGAAGTGTCCACTTTCTGATGCTCTCCTTGCAGGAAAATGATTTTCAGATTGTGGGTAAAGTCCTCAATGGAAATGAAATTCAGGGAAATGTTTTAAAACCTGGAAATCCCAAGGAATCCTTTCGGCAATCTATCCTTAAGCGATTAATGGTACGGTTGGCTGCTCTAACATTGGTTAATTAACAAAGAAGTCCTCAAGCTAAATTCTTAACATATGTTTTCTTGATTGGATAACTTGTCTACTAATGGTTTTGTGAGAACAATTTAGAAATTGTATTATAATGTCATGTTTGGCACGATAATATTTAATGTGTGGTTTTAAAATGTGTATTAAATATTGCAAAATTATTACTTACTTATTACATTTAGCAATAATTTCAATAATTGTTTAGAATAATTGATTTTCATAAAGCATTAGGTCCATTTTTTAGAAACATATTTATTTAAAATATAAGTAATATGTATTAAACAACTAACATGATTTAAATATATTTCATAATTTTGTTGCAAGCAACTTCAAAAAAATCTTTACCCATTTTGTAGAGTATTTAATATGGCTCGCCAGAAATCCACTGCTATATATAATATTTTTCCAACTTGTATCATTAAAATGCCCAGCTCAGACCGCCCGTGGCTGGTCGTCTGCAATTTCTGTCGGCTAGGAAAATGCCCCAATGGGTTTCCCTCTCTGCCTTTGACGTCTGGTCATGGCATCGATGACTCCTACTTTCAGATTTATTATAATTTCCTCTTTGCCCCCGCTGCTTTTTCTATGTTTGCTAAATAATTAATTCGTGTTGTTCTTTCTGCACATTCGCTCGACTTGGGCTAAATAATTTTTCGGCACATATTATGGCCTATTGAAATAATTTGCATAACATGGCCAAAGGCTATGGAATGGACAAACAGCATATGCTGGCAGACGGACGGGCCAGACGTCCCGAAAGGGGCCAGAAATGCCAGACAGACGCTGCGGTCCTCCGGTTCTCCGGTTCTCCAGCCAGCTGCTTGAGGCATTCCGGCGGAGGCCACAAAGTCAACGGCTACGTATAATTTATATGCAAATACACACGGTCCAAGTCCGAACACACAAGCCAGAGTACACACATAAACAAAACAAGGAGGAAGTGTACTTATGGTCCTCGAACAAACTATATCCTGTAAACAAGCCTAAGCCCATTTTTTCCATTACATTTTTTTAACAGTTTAACTGATTATCGAATACGAAATGCCCGATGGAGAGCTTTTAAAAATGTATTTATAGTTATAATAAATTTAATAATAATATAACTTAGTAAACAGTTTATCTAATTTCAATTTGACCACCCGATCTCAATTTTCTTTTTAATTTTAAGCCCCATGTAAAGATTTAAATTTAACAAATCGTCGTATAATTAATGTATATTAATATACTCCACTTTATACTATTTAATATGTTTTAACCATACTACCTTTCACATTGTTCAATTACAGGATATAAAAAGGCGCTGGGAAGGAGTTGAGGAATAAGAAGGAGTCGCCCAACTATGACTCCGAATGTCTATTAAAATTTATTCGAGCGTAAGTACTGGCAAGCGAGAACTGAAAGCTGAAATCATGTTTAGCTCACTCTCACAGAAATGGAAAATATATGCAAAACCAGGTGGGAAAGGGTTGAAAAAAGGGGGTTGGGGAATCAACTAAATGCTAAATAATCAAATGTACGCAGGTAAGGTACACGCAGTAAAAGAAGGTCGACAACAAGCCAAAGGAATATGAATGCTATCAAGCGGGAGGTGGTTGATAACTTATGGTTGTGATTCAAGAAAAGATGAAATTAATAACTGTTTAAGAAAGTAATGAGGAAATAATGTTTTGAAAACCAAGACGAGTTTCTATGTTTTCTAATTTTTTTGCGTAAACCTAAATCGAAATATTAAATAGTGATATTTGAAAGGAAATTGACTATAAAAGCTGAATCACTTCAATAGAATCTAGGAATATTATTAAAAAGTGTGAGATATTTAATTCTTAACCCCTTGAAACTGTTTGATTAACCCTTACAGCAAAAGGCAACCACAACAAAGTGTTGTTGCTCTCCGGCCAAGGAGAGTTAGGTGCTAAACAGGGCATGGCGAGGCTCAGTTGAGAGCAGTTCAGCTCAGCTTCTTCATGGCTTAGAAGCTACTGCCACAGCATGCTAACTAGTACACTGGGAAAAAATGTAATTAATATGGCACTTGGAACATATCTTTATTATATTTCAGAAATTATAAAAATAAAAAATAAAACAATATATTCTTAATTTATTTTGATGATTATAGCAATAAAGGAAACCAATTAATAGTACATTTTAATTTTCCTAGGAACGTTTTTTCACTGTGCTGGTAACTGTTGTACCAACTGCATATATATGCATGAACATCTCCACGTTTTTGTTCGCTTGTCAGGGGAGGAACAAAAGCTGGACAGCCGTGGATGGCTGGGGATACAACTTTGTAAGTAGTTTAATTAAATTAATAAAACTTAAAGCTCGGGGAGAGAGGGCATCGCGCTGTGCTGGCAAACCTCTGACAGGCCGAAGTCGGGCGTGGATAAGGCGAGTCCTTCAAAAGTCGCGCAGGACACTCGCATAAAAGTTGACTTTGGCTTTGCCTTCGGTTGGGGGAATGGGAATGTGGGGGAATCAGAGGCAGGGGACAGCTGAAGACGGCAAACAAATGCAAGCAATGACGGGTAAAGTGCTCGTTGCGTATTTTAATTTGGTTTAAAAACATTGTTTCGCACAAATCCCTCAAGTGTACGTCATTCCACCTCTGACGTCACGTCACATCGTCGAGTAACTTTTCATTCTGTCTCCCTTGCTCTTACTCAGAGTGTCTGATTTTATACCCTTGCAAAGGGAACTAATATATTTACTACAATTTGTGTTTTACTTAAAGAGGTATATTTTTTAAGGGCATGTACTTAAGACCTTGAATAATATGAAACAACTTTCATTTCTGTGTTTAAAAAAAGGCAAGATAATAAAAAGCTGTAAAGATTTTATAAGCTCTTTAAAAGGTATCTAAAATCATTAATTTTTTTACCCTTTTTTTTAGAGTAGTAATTTCTGCAAGAAGAACAATTTATAACTCGCATTTAATTTCTCAATGCTACAAAATTTTTTTATTATTTTACTAACCTAGCAAAATTAAAAGGACCAAATGAAATTATTGTTTGCATTTGGAAATAACAGAACAAAATACAGATCAACATGTTGAATTTTATTAGATCGTAAAATGGGTTGTGGAATTTTAAATAACTTAAGCCTTATGAAACTGTTAATTAAATAATTTTTTTTTATAAGGCATTATAAACTTCGCCATAGGATTTTATTCCTTGCTCCTTGTTTCTTCTCTGTTTGTCTTTTTGTGTGTGTATTGTGACAGCAGCGTAAAAACCGCGTTGACAGCCCGGCAAGGGAAATGGGAATTGGGCGTGGGGAAAATCTAAGGGGGAGGGGGTCGGGAAATTCAGACAGGGGCTGAGTGCAGCACCAACTGCAAATGTAAGAAATGTAAATTGTGCAGCTTTTGGCGTGCACTTTATTCGTTCTTGTTGCATTCACGTGCAAAAATGTTCATGAGCTCGAGCAAACCCCCAACAAAAGATGACAGCCAGGGGGTTAAAACGGGGAGGCAGGATTTTAGCTGCTGCTTCATAATGAACTCAAAAACCAACCCATAATTAAACGGGGAGTTATGCGACATGGACCAGCGGTCGATGCTTGGGGTCATGGGTCATGGCGAGAGAGCATTTTTCTAGCTTTCGCCCAGTTGGACTGCAACCAAAAAGTCTCGTAAATACTAGAGATACGACAAAACAGGAAAATGGGGAAAGATGTGTTTGGTTTATTCAACCACAGAGAAGATTGACTGGAACAGTCCCCAAAGCAATATGTTTTGGGCTGGGAGTATCTGAAATGATGGCCCAGAGAGCTGCAACTAATTGTTGGTCGTAAAGACTTAATTTCAAGTGGTTCTCGGTGATCTCTGGTGAAAATTGTATTTATTAAAGACCAAACACTTAAGTTCTTCAACATTAAATTTT